ATAAAAACAAATAATGTTATCGATTGCCATAGCGTGTGTAACTTGGCTTCATAGACAATCTCACCACATAATTTGCAATGGTCAAATGCTTGGCCTCCTTCATATTCACATCGGGCCTGTGATGCAAACGCATTCGCAGCAAAGTGGCATAGTGTCTAACGCACCGAGATGACAGGATGCCCTGCCGTCCACTAGTGCCTGGATGAGAACAGCTTTTTGCCAGGCAAGTTTGTGTGAAATCGAATGAAAACGTCAGCCTTACTCAAATCATTGCCGACGAATTGCACTGCCAGTCTTTTATCATGTGATATGAAATAGAGTGAATACATCTCACGCAAGGTAGAGCTTTGTTTTGAGCATCAATTTCACGCATTACTCATCGAAGAAATGGGCAAATCTGACATGCCAGTTTACTGCCTGCTTCGTCTGGCTCTGCACTGCGAGTGTCGGCGCAGGCGGATCGATCGTGTCTGGTTCAAATTCAACCGGTCCGCGATTGGCTCTGGCGCTAGAAGGCCGAGACTGGACATGACGGCAGTCTGCTGCCTCCACGTCGGTCAGCCGATTAGCGAGACGACGACGAGGCGAATTCGCATGACGCACACCTCAGCCTCCTGCTCGTGCACACGCACGCCGCGTCAGCCTGTCGGGCTGTACAGATACGAGTGAGAGTGTGCGTGTTAGCCTTTGGCGCGCCCGCAATGCCGAACAGCTTCGTGGCTGTGCGTCCCAAATGGAATGGCAGCACTCGAGTCGTGCCAGCTGCCTTCACGGGCGTCGCGTTGGAGAGCAGCGGCCAGAGGCGGAAGCGGCCGCGTGCCAAATTGCACGCCACCAACCGACGCTCCTCCGCCTCTTGCGCGCGCCTGACGTGGCCCGCAGGTTGGCCAGTCGAGCTGGACGAGCAGCGATTGTGGCGGCTGCGCCATTCGCTGGACCACCTGCACGCCGTCGACGACTGGCTCTTTGATTGGCTCGACGGCCAGTGCGCATCGATCGCTCAGCCCAGCCGTCTTGACCAATCGCTTGTCAGCCCGCACGTCTGGCGGTCGCGGCGCGTGCGCCGCTTGA